AAAAAAAAAAAAATCAGATCTGCAGAGAGTAAACGTCTCGCAGTCGTGCTTTCACTCCTTGGGTATCTGCCGTCTCGACCAGTCGCGACAAGACCTGGTGGGGTTCCAGGAGGAGGACCCCCGACGAACAATTGTGGAGGGTGTTTGGAGTTTTGTGTCTGTGAATTTGAAAAAGAAAAAGAATACAGAAATAATTAGAGAAGAAGAAGAGACAGGAGAAAAAAAGAAAAGGGGAGAAAGAAATTACGGAAAAGTGGAACAAGTGAGAGAGAAGAATATAAGAAAGAGGAACGAGAAATTAAAATAAAACAAAATAAATTTTAGGTAGAAGTGCAATATTTTATTCATGTTCTAGTAAATTTATAAATATTACTATAAAAGATATAAAAGTGTAATATAAATTGTAAAATATATTACTCTCAATTTACTTTGGGAACTCATAGCATCGTTGTTTATAAAAGATAAACTCAAAAACCTAAAACTAAAAGGAAAAGGCTAAATTCTTCTCATCTCCAAAAACTTTCCTCAATTTACATATTATTTCGCAGCTTGTATCATCCCTCATCGGTTATAATCTATGAATTTTCTCATTGCCAGGGTAAAAGAAAATGTGACGAAAAGGAGTAAGTCGGTCGAACCGCCCTGGTCGAACCACCCTGGTCGAACAAAGTACGAATGGGATGGTAGTGGTCAAATATCACTGGACCAAAATCCTCTAGATCGAAAGGTAACATAAAAGGGATTTTGGTACAGAAAGAGTAGGTCGGGCCAGAGCCCTCGAATAGCCTGGTTGAACTCGACCTACAGCAGCATCGTCTGAACGACCAGAATCCAGATGTGAAGCGGTCGGTGGTTTACCCCAAATTGACCTAGACTTGATCGAGCATTTGAGCCTTCGAGTAGATCTCAGAGAAACCAAATCTGTTTGTCCCATTTTTGTGTCGTTTTTAATCATTATTTTACAGTTATTTTTTTCCTCGTATTGAGTCGTTTAGGTGGTTTTAGGATCTTTTTGTCATTTATTATGTGTTTTGCGTTTATTTTAGTGTTGCGGTGCTTTCCGTTTTTTTTCGGTCTTTTGTCTGTTCTCTTTTCATTTTTGGTGTGTAGTTTAGAGACCCCGGAGGAATAGGTTTTCGAGAATCTTTTTGGGAGGCTGATACCGTTGGAAAGAGGGGCTCGTTAGAGACGCATAGAAAAAAACAGAACTCAATTCCGAGTTCGGACGAGTCCAAACGAGCCAAAAACGTAAAGTTGCGCTGCCTAGATACTTTAGCGGAGCTAAGCCTGGCCTTAGCGGCGCTATGAAATGTTAGCGACGCCAGAGGCTACCATCTTTCATTCCTTAGCGCCGCTAACCTCTTTAGCGGCGCTAAGGCCCCCTGCAAGTCCCAAAATAGTATAAAAACCCCAAAAACTAGTTTTCTTCTCCATTCTTTCACTTCCAGCTTGAAGGGGAAGGAACCCTAGGTCCGAATATTGCCTCCTTCCTTCACCTTCCTTCATATTCTCCTTCCCTTCTTCTTCTTCTCTTCTCCTCTTCTCCATTTTTCTTTCTTTTCTATTTTAGGGATTAAGCTTGTATTGTGGATTCAACACTTGGATTGAGATTAATTGTAAGATTTTCTTCTTGTTTAATCCATGGAAATGGTTGAATTTGGAGAAATGATTAATTGTGTTGGATTGATTTTATGTAGCTAATTCTTATTGTTAGGGATAGGGGATGATTATTCTTGTTTAATTCGTATTTCTCGGGCTTGAATTGTTCATTCTTGTGTGGGTTGAATTGATTAGAAATTGATGAATTTGTGCTTGATTGATTGATATAATCGAAGGGTGACACTTCGAACTTGTGATTGGGAACAATTGAATGTTAATTTGTCAAGTTAGGATTTGCAACTTTATATGATTAGTTGATTAAACACCTTCAGTTAAATTAGCAACTTTCAGAACCGAAAGGTGAGATGTCGTAGACCTAGGCTCACATGAGGTAGATGATTTTGTAATTGAATAATTTATGTGTTTTAGATTGAAATACAAACTTGTCGATGACCCGTCCCTTGTTACGAAAAGTTATTGTGATAGGGATAATTGACATGTGTTGTATGCTCGAACTTTTTCGTCTATGTTCAATCCCTTGTTACGAAGAGTTATTGGGAGCGAACCGCTACATGTCTAAGCGAGAGTGTCAATCTCAAAACGAACAATGAATTGCCCGATTTAGCTAGAACTTGAATTAATTGTCCCCGATTCCCTAGCTTCTCCATCTTTGTTTCGTTTATCTTCTTAGGTAGATTATTGCTTTTTATTATTTCTTAGTTGATTATTATTCAAATCCCCTATTTGATTAGAGTGTTTAGGATTTATTTTCCTTTTGTGTGTGATCGATACCAAAGTTGAATTCTGAATAGCCTTCCTCGAGAGATCGACCTGGGGAACGAATCATTTGATTCGGTACTCGGTATTTTTAAACAATTTATGCTACAACAAATTTGGCGTCGTTGTCGAGGAAGGAAAGTATGATATATAGTTTTGGTGTTGATTTTGTTTTACGTGTTTCGCTTTGTTTTGTGTTTTTCGTATTTTTGTTCTTCTTTTTGTGCATATTTTTTTCTTTTCGTTTTCTTTGTTTTTCTCTTTTTCGTGGTTTCGCGTGGTTTTTTCTATTTTGCTGTGCAAGTATTATGAGCTATAACAGTATGTTCCCCTATTCGCACACCCAATCTTGGGTTAACGAGCCGAGCTACTCCACCGGGCATCACTACCAGTCATACCCATACTCTTCCGAGCAATACTGGGACCCCTCCCCGGTCGAGCAATATTATGAGTCCCACGCATTCAACGAGAAGCTCGACCTTATCTACGAATTTGCAACATCCCGGTTAGCTCAAGAAGAGGAAACCGCAGCCCAGTGT